GCCTGCGCTGCGGAACAGGAAGTAACACAACTTTTTCTATCTTCCGCGATCTGTTGAAGAAGCAATTTAAAGCCTTAGTTCTGCAACACGCGAGACATGACCTTTGTGGCGAGCAAAGTGGAACGACTGTGGTCTAGCAGTTGGACCATTAAGGGACTACACACAACACTGGCCATGGTCAGAAAGAAAGGAAATACGCATGCAACAAAGCCAGAGAGAAAACTTAAAATTCATATTGCTCTTGTAAGTGCTGTAAGTCTGTTGATACAATTGAAAATTGTCATGAATGAGCAGTTCATTTTAAAATTTCGGCTACATTAACTTAAGTGCGTTTTCGAGTGAGCAAAGCTGAACTTCCTTTCCTGCTGCACACTGTTAACGTCTGAACACGTTTGCTTTTCAAACATGGAAGTCCCTAGTGTTTATCACATTTACAAATTAGTCTCGTTACACGTGTGTCTTAGTGGACACACACAAATCTCACTCAAGATTTACTTTTTAACGTGACAGGAAGCGGAAATGAATACACAATAGGTGTTCCTGACCGAGAAGCCAATTTTCCTCTGACACTTTCGATCGAAGCTTGTTTCTCACTTGCTCTGACCCTCCAGTCACATTTACGTTGTCCTCTGTTCTTTTTTACATTCATTTTCCTTTCCTCTTCATTTCCTCTATCTCTCTTGTCGTTTTAGTATTGTTGATACCATTTAGATAAAGATCGCTCAAATTAAATTACTTCCATTACGAAGTTCATACAGAGCTTTAAGGAAACCATAAGATAAAAACTGATATCTGCAACTGAACTTAATAAACAGAAGCATGACTTCTCGTGTGTTGAAGTCTAAAAATAAAATTCAGAAATTAAAATGTGTAAGAAAACCTCCTGAATACACCGCTATTTTAACCATCCTTGAACACTTTTATACACAGTCCATACCTTTTCTATTATTTAAGATTTATTTTGATATTCTCATCCTTTACTTCTTCCACGTTATTTCTTATTTTGAGGTTATCCTTTCAAAATATTTTAACTTCTTTTCCCATACTTCATTTATACCCCGCCGACATCACCCTTCACATAAACACTGTACAAAGATAACAAATTATGCAATTTTCTCCAGTTATTTGTTAATCTGTTTAAGGTTAAAGTATCTTATACTGCGTTTTGATCTTGAACACCTTCAAAATATGGTTTAAGTAATTAATTACGTAACCATGATGATAAGTGAGCTTCCACCTAGTAAAAGAGCGTGATATGAAAGAAGTATTAGTAGGTTACAGTCAAAATTTCTCAAAACAAGTTACAAGAAATGTCTCGTCGTAGAAAGTCACCAAACTAGTTACGCGGTTAAGGTGAGAGTTTTGGACACCTGTCGACCAAACTTAGACCACGTACCAGCGAGAAATCTTTGGGAACTTACTGGAGCGTGAATCTTCGAACAGGAATCACTAAAATGTAAGCGGAAATGACAACAGGCTTTGGAACTAGCACACTTAAATTTTAAACCTGAAAGAAGATTCAGTCAGGATTTAACGTTCAAATAAGTTAGAACTGCAAATAAAGTTGTACGAAATGTCAACTAATGTTCCTCTGACATTTTACTTGCACGATAAGCGAAAACGGAAAGTGAACAGCTGATCTGTCGGTCTTTACGTCATGTTTCCCAAAGGAACTGTCCCAGTCTTCGTATTGGTTACTGTGCTGACTAACTACCTAACTAATTAATTTATTATTACTACCTGACAACAACAAGTGCCAAAGTAATCAGCTAGCTCTTAAAACAACAAACTAACAATTAATAAAAAGGGTTGACTAAGTGGTTAATTAATTGACAAATTAACTAACTGAACGACTAACTACCTGAGTGTCTAAATAAGTGACTGAATCATCAAACTGACTAAAACATCAAATAACTGACTTAAGAGTAAAATAAATGTCACTCAATGCGTAACGTACTAAGTTTGCGATAAACTACTAACTCATCTACTGACTGCCAAGTAATGAAGCAAGAAACTACCTAACTATTGGTATCCTGATATTTAATAAATTGTGTGACTGACTACCAAACTCACTGGTCCACAAACATAAATAGTCTAGTGGGCTGTAACATCGAGTGGACATGTAAGCGGACCACACGTCTTCACAACCCAGAAGGCCACAGTTTATATTTGTATCAACCAATAATATTTAAATGTCATAATTGATTACTTAATACTGAGTACCTAACTCAACACAAAAAAACTTGCTTAAACGATTGATAATTTACTGACAGAAACAAGTTGTTGTTTTTTTCTTAGTTTATAGGAAAGATTCGTGTCTGTCATTAAAAACAATTTTTGGGTCCAGTCTTGAGCTACTTGGCAGCTTTACACATATTTCTTGATATCTATTACGTGCGAAATAATTATGAAACAAAAACTAAGTGTATTTTATAACGAAATTCAGAATACAATGTCTGTGCCTAAGAAAGAGAATACAATACACGAGACCTGTTAGTGCTGGCATTTAAATGTATTGGCTGCCGAATCCTCACGAATCAACGAAGTTATTTTGACTAAAAGATATCGAGCAGAAAAGTGAAACATCTGTTTGCACACCTTGCTTGTTCGATCCGTCTGGTTGACCGGATCAGAAGTGGAACGCTTGTGTCCAATTATGAAACACACTCCAATGATCACCCGAGAAATTTATGTTCCAGCCGCCGTGGGCTGTTTCACGGTGGTTGAGGATAGAACGATTTGGCAAAAAAGGCTTTGCTTCAAAAATTGTTTAGTATTAAAAAAATTATTCCAATGAACTGGAGATGCTTAAGTGGCATTTCGAGTTCCCACGATGATAAGTATCCACATATCACTCCTCGGTGCCCTGACACTTCTAGTCGCTAAGCTCGGCGTCCGCTGCATCGAGTTTTGTTGTAATCCTGACACTTATCTCTTATTTCCCCAAATTCTGTTGTTATGGAGCTTGGCGCCTCTTTCCCAGAAACATGTCGTACAGGTTCTCAGGTCTCCTGTTCGCTTCAGATACATTTCGAGGTCAGCGTCCCTTCTCAAAATCCATTTTCAAAGCCACCTCGAGACTCACGCCAAATGTAACGTCTTTAGGCGTCGTACCGATTATGAAAGTCGCCACTTACTTCGTCGGATTTGAATCTTCAATAGGCACTCGGATCCTCGTCCACGGTAAATTTGGCGTCCTTCGAAGACGTCGCCTCTTCTGCTAGCGTGGCGAACAAAGGCTTCTCAACAAGATCTTTCGAGACGCAAACTTCAATTTCCTAATTCCCTTTTCAACGTCATATGGTGACTTTTCTCCGGTAATCTGGCGTCGTTTTGAGATAGCCCGATTTTAGGCGCCCCGACGACAGACGGAGACTGTAGCACCGGACCCAATCGTTCTGGCGTCCTGTCAACCCAAACTAACCATACCTATACCACTGACATCCTCTTTTACTCTCTCCCTCTCTTTTATCATCTCTTGTCCTCTCTTCTCCTCTCCTTTCTTCTCACTTCCACCCCTCTCTTCTTACCTTTTCTTCCATTTACACCTTCCCCTGTTCCTCCGCATTCGTTGCTCATTCTTCGTCTCCTTTAATGTCTTTGCTTCTATCTTCTCCGTCATTTCACACGGCATGTGTCCAATGTATGCACTTCAACCAAAGACTGCATGAAATGCCTGAATATCCTAGCTGCCTGTTAACACAGGGAAAGCATGAAACTGCAAAGTTTGTCTGTGGTTCACGACCTGCAGGTTGACGTTCTCAAGGTATTTCTCTGCCGTCAATTCATTATCCCTTATACAACTGGCCCCCAACACCTGCTGAGGCAGCGGTGAGTTCCAAAATGCCTGAGGATACTTCCTCGAAAATGTCTCTGCGGACTTGAAGGATCACATTAACTCACTTTCCAGCGAAGTTTATTTCAATTTGTATCGAAATATTTTTCATACGTCAATTCTACTCCACAAGAGACGAAAATTACTACTAAGTACGCTATTGTATCATTATAATTCAATTTAATAAATGAATTGAATAATTCCAAAGAAACAACAGCATGCTCTCTGCGTCAAAGTATTTAAGTTTTCAAATGCGGTCTTTGCCACTTCACAGTTATCGTCGTTTCTTGTTGAATCTTCTGGCCACAACTGACGAACAGTTAAAATATTACTGACGTTTCGTAGGATCGTGCTGCCCCTTCATTCTTTTCGTAGGCACACCGCTCCACTCAATAGTAAACATACTTGAACATTTGGGAGAAACTTGCTGCCATCTGTTGAGAGCCTAAGAAAGAGAAGAATCTTCGAAACGTCGTTCGTAATCGTTATCATATCGACAAGCCGCTATACCCAGAAGAATAAAAATACATTTACAATGACATCCACACAGAAGGATGGAATTTTAATCCGGAACATTTTCTAGAAGCATAAAAGCAGTTGTTGTTTTAGTGATAGAATACCGATTTAGTACGTTCGATTTAGAGGGAAAACGTGCAATGGGTCCTGTCCATGCCAGTCTTTAAAAAATGCAAGGTACTCAATTCAAAAAAGAGCTCAAATTCATGCTACAAGAAAATTCAACTGATTCCCACAGGATGTGAGGCTGGACGGGACAGAGAAATCCTGCCCGCAAGTGGTAATGAAGACAAGAATCCTTGTATCGTGGGACCGCCCAGTCTCCTGTCCAATGGCACCGGAGGTAAAGCGCCCTCAGCGTGAATCTAAACCTTATAGCCACGCACTTTAGTTGCCTTGGTGTCATACTCAAGTGCAGGACAGCTTTTTTTTCCCAAATTCAGCACCAGAAGTAGCCCTCAAGCACTGAAGACGCCCGCGACTGCAAGCCCCGACGGCCACACAGCGACTGCTGGCCTCCGAAAACCGCTGAAGAAGGGAAACCCGGGTGACGTGTTGGAGTGACGTCACGAAGGTATCGTACGTACGTAACAACTGGCTGTTGAAACATCCAAGTCCCCTCGGTCGGTCAGTACTGGTTGGTCTGGCGGTAGTGTAAGGTTGGCAGAGGAACACGTGTTTAGATTAGCGATAAGTTCATCAAGAAGTCCGTATTATAAATCATTAAGTTCCTACTTCTGCGGTCAGTTAAAAGGTTTGCCTCAGAAGTTCTTGGCCGAAACACATTCTTCATTTTTTTACAATTACGTACTTCGAATTCTGTGTGAAAAGAAGTGGATTTAAAATGGCAAGTGTTCTGGAAGTTCTGTTTGCACAGCAAGTTTTGCTACTAACAACTGAAAGCTGACGTGATCTTTGGATAGCCAGTATGTGGAGCCTATTCACTGGGTAGTGAACCCATGCGAGTGGAAACTCTCATCTTTAAACCTGATTTTATCTTACAAGTGCCTGGAGATTCAAACTAATTTGCTGTGTGTGCTAGGCGATTAACCGCAAGGATCAATCACACAATATCCGTCATAGTCTGCAAATAATACCGAAATCCGCATAATCTTTTAGCATCGGATAGTGTACCAACTAATAACAGCTGAGTAACGAACTGGCAGGAGTAAATTCAAGATAACTTGATAGTTCTGTATTGTAAAAGTTCTTTTGACACTTTTAACTACTTTTTACAAGTCAGAGTTGTAATATCAGCTAGTGGCTGGTGTAAACAGAAAATAAACCGTAATATTAATTATATTCAAAATCGGATTATCACATAACAGAAGTTATACTGACACTAAAAGAGAATTTCAATTGCTGTGAAAAAACACGAAAAAACGGTGATGTTCATTATCGCTACTTCTTGAAGTTTTAACAAGCACTGACAGTGGTCAACGAACTTGGTTCCGGGAAGAAGGAAAAATACGTTCAAAAGTTTCTCTTGCACGCAAAAGCAATATGAAGAAATTTCAAGTGTCTTCAGCCGATTACGAACGTTAGTCAAGGATGATAAGTTATTAATACGCCTTCAATTACTGGCATGGAAAATTAGCTCATAAAATCTCATTATCACTTCGCCGTTGGATAAAAGTTTGCATATGTAATTGGATATTGTGTAAACATTGTCCATTAAGTTTCTCTTACCACAAGACAACACGGGAGTCAACTTTCCATCAAATAATAATAGCCTCCACTTAACAAAATTTCTTCTTCGTCTTGTGATATTGGGCTTCGTAAATTACAACGTGTTTGTGTCTTTCTAAAGAGGGGAGGGGCGTAGGAGGAATAAGAAACCTGTGAATTACATAAAGGTCAGTGTTTCACTCCCACCTCAGAGCCTGTGAATTAAATAAAGGTCAGTGTTTCACTCCCACCTCTGAGGACTATCGTTGTCATCAGCAATTTGCTGTACGGTTTTCCCTTTCGCCTAGACCACTTTGTCATCTGGCATTCGGTACATCTTCAACACTAACCTACTTTGTCCAGCGCGGAAGGAAATACGAGGCATGGTGTCAACGCACAGATTCAAGCAGTTTATCGCGGTTTGGACATCTTGGGACGTGTCGTGAAGTTTTTCAAGTAGCAAGCAAGATTTATGGAAGTGAAATATTAGAATTCGCGTGAAATTTCTAACAATGCAAACGTAAAGTTTCGTAAGCGTGTCTAGTTGCGTGGCATTTATGGCTTTCAATAAATACGTTTGAAATGTTTGTTTAAAACATTAGAATTACGATCATAAAAAGCAGGTGTGGACAGATGTGTTAATTGTTGAAACTGCTTTCAACAGTTCATTAACACAAGTTGCCGGATGAGGGGAACAGAACTTTCTTCTTGTACTAAAAATAACAAGTCTTCCTGTAATTAAGTAAAACTGAAATCCTTACGTTATGAAAAGTGACGCTTTGTGTGGTTTATCAAGTGGAGTTTCCTGGACGGGACCTCAACTCAGTCCTGCCTGATACATTCATGGTAAGTCAATTATTTTTAAATTGTCATTAGGCCAAAGTCTAGTGCATGGTAGAGCTTGAAGAATTACAGAAATAATACACCACGATTTTCTTAAAACATCACTTAAGCCTGTATGAACCTTAAAACTTTTTTGTGTGGCCTATGATACAGATAGTTTATTCTTATTCCCATCTTTGTTTGTCCCTCGACTTAGTAACAAAACTTCCATCTTTTATTTCATGAAATAAGGCACGCCGAGTTGCGTTCCGTAAAAACACACGAACTTATTCAACTGAGAAACAAAACCGAACGCAAGTGCGTAAATTCAGCTTCATACCGGGATTATATTGACGTTTCTGGTTGACCGAAGGGCTGTAAAATAAATTCTCTCTTGAGCTTTATCTGTGGCGAATGAGCTCACTAGTAGTAAATGCCAACTTAACAACTTTGTGTAGAACAGGTCTGAAAGATAAACGCCCAAGAATAAACGTTGTTTATTTTGAACGACTGTTTTATGGGACTTTACAGCTTCTACGGTGAGGTCATCGGTATGGAAACCAGCGGAAATTGTTCTTGTTAGTGTCTGCAAAACGTGAAAGAAATAATGAATGGATCGCTTTAAAGAATAGAGACTTGGGTTATTGGCGATGTGAGTGCTAAAGATGATGTAATGTCTGCGCACCTCAGGGGGTGACGAAGGACTGGAGAAAATTGCTTAAAGAGGCCCTTCATAGTGCGCGATTTTCTCCAGGTACTGTTCGCGTGTTTAGATCTACATCAAGAAGGAAGAGTGTAAGTCGTGTGACTTGCATGAGGAAACGACGAATGCTTACACAATTTTGGATGGAACACACAAGGCCAGGTTACATCTCGAAAAACCGCGACGTAGATAAGAAGATAATATTAAATAAATTCAGAAACAGGCCTATGCGTGACATAACAAATCTAGTGTAACCGCTCTGCTATTACCTCTAGTTATCTGGATCGTCAATGTCTTCTTATAATTAGAGTATATATATATATATATTATAGGCAGAATATTTTAATGGTTTCTTAAACGTGGGATCCGAACCACTGTGAAGGGTTCGACATCATCAGACGTGACGTTAGGTGAGTGCTTGTAAAATTACCACTGAAATTCGAATTTATATTAATTATCCTGTTTTCGTAATACGTGAAGGTCTTCCAATATATTAACAACAAATTAACACCATTTAAATTGTTCTGGTTTTAATTAATTGTAGCTGGTACATTAATAGTCTACATTCTCCTACTTGCTGCATTTACCTTACTCTTCAGTAATTCTCATTTTCCCGAGCTGCCATTTCTGTTTTAATAAAGTTTTAACTGATAAACCTCAGGGGATATCCCGGTCTTCTAAGGCAGTGATATTCCACCTGGGGTACGCGTACCTCCGAGAGTACGCGAAGACATCTTAGGGGGTACGTGAAATTTAAATATATTATTTTATGATAAACACTGAATAATCAGGGCCAGATTTAGGGTTAGCCACAGGAGAACCGGACGTAAGGACATTCGATTTGGGAGATTATATACTGTGTATTACTTGAATTATAAACGAACAACTTTGGGGGAACAAAGTTAAAGAGAAATTATATCTGGGGGTACGCAAACAAAAAAGGTTGAATACCACTGTTCTAAGGGATCACCCGCCTTGCGGGAATCTCTCGATCACAAGGATATAACCAAGAGTGGCTGTGGAATTGATTCGTCCTCAACTTCAAACACTTGATCTGGACCGCATTGAAAACCCCAAATGAAGTTATTCTCATATTCAGTACAGAATATAAACAGAGAACTGTGTTTATAGGCAACAGAACAGATTGGCAGTAACTCGGTGGAATTGTTTGGAAATCCAGAGGCATTCAAGCACGACAGTCCAGCGGCCACCTCCTCGTTATGTAATAAAGGAGGCTAGACATTCAGTCTGGGAATTATTTGCTATTTATCGAGTTTCCGTCACTGTTGTCGGGACTTCAGGTTTTGATATCAGAAGTCGTAAGTTAATTAATAGTTTAGATAGGTTTGAGGCTATTTCACCAAGGGGGCCCGACATAGTAGTCCTCTCACCAGTCTCCCGTAGACGGAACGTCGCAGTTTGTAAATACTTAGATGATGATAAGACCCAACATGATAATTACACACTACAGTAGATATGTAACTTAGACTAAGGTATGGAAAGATGATTATGCATACGAGAGGGGTGTAGTCTATTCAGAAACACTGATGGTGTTTTTTTTTTGGGTTCTGGCGCCGTGTGGAGTGGCCAGGAGATGCCGACGTTTCGGAGAAGAGGAAAAGAGATATTCTGTCGGCATTAGCCTGAAGAAACTTCGAAAATCTTCAAGACAGCAGCCAGAAGATTCAGTTCCCTGCCGAAATTCAAAATGAATAGTTCTCGAATGTGAAGGATATGATGGATGATTACGTATTCGCTGGTACTAATTCGCAAATGAATTAGCTGTTGTACACGATGAGTTGGTGCTTATTCAACTCGTCGAAAATTTATCTGCATTTATGGTAAAGGAAGGTTCTTCACCTTGTTCACAGAAGTCCAACACTTTAAAATATCTATAGTAAACTTAATTCAGTCGATATCTTCACACGTCTCCCTATACGAGGGTTCCATATAATCTGAATTAACGACAGGGTGGTTATATAAACAAGAAAACGAACAAATTAAATGCAGATATTCCTTTGAAATCCATTTTAACATTATCCTCTCATATTCTCTTATATTTCCCGAGAGTCTCCCAAGGCGTTGAGATTTTTTATTCAAAGCGGTTTATGTAAGCATTTCTCATTTCCTTCCTGTCACCACGTTTTCCACCTCTTGACTCCTTGATTTAAGCACTGGGTGAAGAGTACAGTTTGCGTGGTTCATTACTGCAGTCTTATCCCGTCCATCTTTACTCGCCTGTATTTAATTAGGCTACCTCAAGGACACAAATTATGCATTTCCTAAGCAAAATGGTCTGGAATAATCAAATACTTAATAGTCATTTACTCCAAACTTCTTTCTGTAATATGTCGATGGGATACTCCAGGGTAGCCAAGAGTGATTGGTAGTGGATAGAACATATCAGACACTGATCTATGGTGCTCATGTTAAATTACTAGGCAAATAAACATGAATAAACAATGTATAGAAATTAAAAAAAAGTGTATGCCCATAGTTGTTCGCTGAGTGTTGGTTGGGGAAGATGTGCATTAGAAAAAATTTAATAACAAAATACATCGAGTCACTAAAAATCACGTCCACGTGCTGAAACCTAAATCAATCGGCTACAGTATATCGGTGCTTTTAGCCTATACTTCGCTTCACGAATGCATTAAGTTGCAAAGACTAGATTCCGAACGTAAACTAGGTACGCGTTGATGGAAATGGAAAAGTTAGAAACAGTAGTGAACCATGTTTTAATTAATAACAGTCTGGTCGGACGATGTCAGTAGCAGTGCAATGTAGTTCAAGTTTGATTGGAATTAATCTCGCACGATCGCAAGAGGATCGTTCCGTCTCTCTCGGCGGGACATACCGTCACTCACTCGCCTTTCCGTTTGATTCCAAGTTTAATTACGTACGCACGTCGTTGTTGTGTTAGAACACATTTTATGCGCGAGTGCTGATTGCCTTCACCACGCCCACACGTAATAATTCCGCCCTTCTTCAACGTATTTGGATCAAACTGAGTTACATAACAGAATTTTCTCAACTTGTCCATGCTTATATTTCTGTACTGCATGAATATTTGTACTCATAAGTATCAGATTACAAGACATAAGAAGCGTCTCTGCAGCCTCTCCTATTCAAGTCCTCAACCTCCCCTCCCGGTGCTGCAACCTGTTTCAGCAAACGATAAACTGGGGACCGAGTCATGGCAGTATAAACATTACATAAAATTTGGGGGAAATATCATCTCAAAACATCATTCCTGACAGTGGAGACGCTAATTCTTGGGCAGCAAAGCTTAAAGTTATGAAATGTCCACCCGGAATTATCTTCCGATGTAGGCCTAAGTTTCAGTTTCCAACGTAGTCTCAGATAATCTGACCAGAATTCTCTATTTCTTCCTTCATTCCTGTAGTGTCACTCCGAAAGTCCTTGTATTTATCACGTGCTTATTCTTCCGTTAGACCTTACACCCGACTGCGATATATTTATGTTTGTTAGAAGAAACTGGTTCATACTATACGCAGCGAATTAGTCCTCCTTTCGATGATTTGGAAAACCCCCAGCTATCAGATTATTTTACTCCAATGTCCCATATTGAAAGACTTATGCCCTTTTCATTAGGTGAGATGCATTAGTTAAAATATAAGGCTTCACCGTTTGTGGGCAACGAAAGAACACAAAAGACATGTTCGAAGAGTAAACTGAATGTTTTATTATATTTACGAGATCGACGCTCGTCCACGACGTGACAAAATTCCGGTTCCGTTACATTCCTGCACGACTTCAAGTAATGTCCGTCCGTCGATCCATTTAGAGAGAGGGAGTTCCACATTTCCACCCAATACACATAATGAAAACGCAGTCAGGCTTTCTTCCTCCCTTTATCTTCTTCCTGTATTGTCCTCCAGCCTCGTTTCGTCTTCCTCTTCCTCTCACTACTTCTCTTTTATTTTTCTTAATTTATTTCCTGTCTTAAGTTCTGCCTTTGTCTGTTTCTTTTGCTTCCTTCAGCCTTGAAACCTTTCCCGATAAAGACGAGTTCCTTTTTGGAGACTCTGTTATACGCCTGCATTGTTTTGACACATTCTGTTACCAGACGAAGTTCCAAACTTTAGAAACAAAAATATTTCATATATTCTTAAACGTAAAGTTATTAACCTTGGGTATGCACCCAGCCGTCGTTATCAGGTCTCTGGTGACTGGACATGTTCCGATTTCCCGACAGTGCATGCAGAATGGTCACAACACATTGCACATATGGCCTTCTGGTGTTAAGCAAACACTCTGGAGGACGCATCTGTTTGGAGGCTAAGCAAACCGTACCGTT